TAAATATATCTCCTATATATATATATATATATATATATTCATGTATCCAACTGAGAATTTTTGGGTTAGTATTGCCATGCTCAATGCATGTTCTTTAAGTTTGGCCATGTAATTGTTCTCCAACATGTAAGCTAAGCAAGATCCCGTCGCAAGTCCTTGTGCCTGTTTATAAAATTTACCGTCAAAGATAAAATTAATGCTGCTAATAGATAGGTTAAGAAGTTAAAGTATATTGGCTATACTCAGTCTTATTCCTTGTGTGATCTCTGAATGCTCCTCCAAGGCTTACTATACAGGCTGAATAGCCCCTTGAACAAAAACATTTACGTACATAGACACAATATCCAAACTTACTAGCTTATCTTTCTCTGAAATTGTCAGCTGAGCAAACAATTTTATCAGCTCATAGGAATTTTTAACTAAATATAGCCCAAAATCGGCATCTTTTCTTAGCATTTTTTCCACAACTTTACCTATTCATGGCTTCCACTGCTACACCTTTGTCGGTCCTCATAACAATTAAATTATTTCGAAATAAATATTCCCAACCCCTGCTGAGAACACAATATTGCTTTGCCCTTATCATCTGATCAAAATAAGGAATAAGCTCCAACTTATTTATATTTTTCACCTCAAACAACATATCCGATATCCTAATTAATTCGAAAAATATGTCTAGATAATGATTGCTTCATTCGAAATTGCAAAATTAATTCCTCCCAATAAAAGTTCAGCATTATTCTCTACTTTTATACTGGATAAATTAATTACCGTATCCTTTCCTAATTTGCTAAAATCATGGTTATTACGATTTACCTTAGGCGTAAGATTTTCCGATCTAATTCGAATTTAGGTTCACTAGCTTCTTATTATGTCCGCCTAATTATTATAAGAGGGGCCTCTGCTAAGCAGCTAAATGTTTCATTCCTATTCATGCTTAAGCAATTTTCTAATTCTAAGGTTCCATAGTAGTTTTTTAAGCCATTTTAATGGTATTTAATATGTATGTCTCTGAGTGCATACTTTTTCGAAACCTGGAATAAACGCTCTAATTAATTATAACAAGGCCTAATATCCGTTCTAGGTCAATAATGTTAAGGATATTTTTAGACCTAGGGTGGCTCATTACATAATTGCGTAATATCACTTGAGCTGGCGAGCTTCCTGCTTTAAACTAGATAAAATTTATTAGAACTCAAATTTCTTTTTGATTCAACTTTTCCGAAGGCCCTCTCAGAGTGAATTGTGTAGCTTTATCAGCCTCCTGGATTGTAATTCTGGAATATTATTAGTGGCTATCTTAGATAAATAAGGATTTCACTTAATAGCTAATTCCCCCTCTATCTTAGCGTTTATCTTTACTTCCCTCTTGTAGCTACCCATTCTACTGGCCGGTATTCTCTGTTTGTTGACGCGACTTGACACGGTGACTTGCCAGCCTGATAGCCCTCAGGCCAACCGAAATGAACCCGAAGCTAGTGATTCTCGACGTCCTGACTCTAGAGTGACACTAGCTGGTTCCAGGTCTGAATCTAATGGGTCAGAAGCCATTAATGCTACAGATGGCTTTGAAGCCAATTCAAACTGCACACCCTTATCAACCTTTCTTGTATCAGGTTTGTCACCAACGGGTTCGTCTGCATCAGCTGCAGATAAGACAACAGGCTCAGGAAAGACAGAAGCTGTAGTCGAGAAGCTTACTGCAAGTCACAAAGATGCTGTGCCATTTCAATGGAATGCCAAGCCCGGGGTTGTTATAAACAGCTGCGACCATCCCGCAGACGCTGTAATGCTAGGCGCAAAAATAATAGAGAGAGTTAACGGACCCGAAGAAGTTGATTACGTTGCTGTAAACGATTCTTCGTTTCCGGCATCCTCACGCGGCCCGGAAAAGACAAATCGGCTAGTTGCTTCTGTTCAACAGATGAAAGAAGGTATGTAGCACATTATTTGCTTTTGATAACAGCTATTTTTCATAACACTTCCAAGAGATAACCATTCATTATTGAGGATGAAAGCAACACATTTTTCTAAACTACGCTTACCATAGCCCTCTTTAAAATAAACTTTCTGCTTTTTGCATTTAATCTAAATCTCATTTGCACCTTGGGATCAACTTTGGCGGATAAATGGATCAAATATATTGCTTACTTCTCTTTTGGCATGAGACCATCATGACAATGCTTGACAAGGTCATGAAACCTAAGTCTCTACTCATAACATGCGCTTTCTGATTAATGAATTCAGGTAATGAGCGCTTAGCTACTTTCTACGATGTTTGGCTACCTAGCCTGTATAAATCAGAATGAGTTACAAGCAGGGGCGGAGAATTTAAAGGTTTTGCATAAAACTTGAAATGCAAGATGGCGGCGTGGTAGAGCCCGAATAATTGATTAGGGGTCTCGTGTAAATTGAGTTTCATGGAATAACCATGCACCCAATGTTGCAAACTGACCAATTGGAGCTACTACCACTATTATCCTTAAAAGATACTGAATAATTCTTGTGCAAGTAGATCGTCAACTAATTTTGGTATGACTTAGTTTTTATAAAAAACCTAGTTAAACTATTCATATAGTCGTTTTTGGTCATGATTACT